TCTGTTCAGTAGTTTATAATATTATTAAGATTAAGATGTCGCATTTAATTAAATTTTATTTAAAATCGATTCTGTGTTTTTGTAATCATGTACAAGTTCATTTAAACAGATTAACAGCTGACTGAGTTTCTTGTCAGTTCTTCTCATCTCGAAATCATTCCGAACTGACGGTAGATTTGACATATCATAAGAGTCTATAATAGACCCACATGAATAAAGATATTTTGAATTTAAAATCACTGCATAGAAAATTTGTGCTCGTAATTAAATAATGAGAATTGTTCATGTTAATGATTGATTTCACAACATCTGGTGCGACAATGCTGTAGTATCATCTCGGATGTTATTAATGAAATAGCGTATCTGTCTGTTTGTTACCATTTTAGAATAATGATGAACTTGATGTACGCTATTTTTTTATTTAAAATATGGTCGAGCGCAGTGATGGCTGACTCACCCGTGATACTCGTAAATGAGTGCTGCTTGTATGGACTGGTCTGCTCTTATCACTACGACTGATTTAGTCTTATTGTGTTTTTATATTTGATTCTAATAAATTAGTGCTAGTTGGTATTGTGTAAAATATAAACTTACAAGGATTGTTTAAAAGAGCAACACACAAGTTTCTTCCTTATTCATCTTGTGATGAGACAGCTTCCCGAATGAGCGGTAGATTAAAAAAAACTGTAGACTATTCAAAAGAAATTAAGTTTATTTGAAAAAATGATTTTCTATTCTATTCTATTCTAAATAAACAGACGAATCCACAAGTAACAGCAAGTATACGACAATTATCAACTATAATAAAAGATACCTGAATAAATAAAGAAACAAAAATAGAAATAATCTTTATCCAAATAAACTTAATATAAGCACTTTTGAATAGTCAAGTTTTTTTATTCTACCGCTTATTCGGAATGCAGATTCATCACAAGAAGAATAAGCAAGAAACTTGTGTGTTGCTCTTTTGAATAAATGTTGTTTCACTTATATTTAATTAACAACAAGGATTGGCATGCGACAATCAACATAGAAACCGCTACGCACTCAATCTCTGTTCAATCAGATAACATTGTCAGCGCTATGAATTTTAAGTTAGATATTATCTACAAAAACATTATTATCATTTATAAATTCTTCAATTTTATAATAAGTTTTTTTACAAAGACAATATTTTATGACCGTTTTGAATTTTTTTTCTGGCAAATTGAAAAGGTAAATGAGGTAGAAGTACTGACACAACAATCAAACAATTAATTTAGACATTACTGAACAGAACTGCTGAAAAAATATTTTTCCTCGTCTTCTTAAATTGTAACAAATTAGGTTTATTTTACGTCGTAACGAATTCTTTGAAAAAATTACGAAAAATCCGATCCCTCAAGTTTTGATTTCATGGGCTGTTTGAAACGTTCAAGTCCTGTCATTGTAACCATGCTTTACGTATTTTGTTGGAATTGATTCATCATCATCATCATCGCAGCCCGGAAGACGTCCACTGCTGGACATAGGCCTCCCCCAAAGATCTCCACGACGATCGGTCCTGCGCTGCTCGCATCCAATGCCTTCCAGCGATCTTGACCAGATCGTCGGTCAACCTTGCTGGAGGCCTTCCCACGCTGCGTCTTCCGGTCCGTGGTCGCCACTCGAGGAGTTTACTGCCCCAACGGCCATCTGTCCTACGAGCTATGTGCCCTGCCCATTGCCACTTCAGAGTCGCAATTCTTCGGGCTATGTCGGTCACTCTGGTTCTTCTGCGGATCTCCTCATTTCTGATTCGATCACGCAGAGTAACTCCGAGCATAGCCCTCTCCATTGCCCTCTGAGTGACTCTGAGCTTGTTGATGGGGCCCATAGTTAGCGACCACGTCTCTGTTCCGTAAGTCATCACTGGCAACACACATTGGTCGTAAACCTTCGTCTTGAGACACTGCGGAAATTTGGACGAAAAGATATATCGGAGCTTCCCGAACGCTGCCCATCCGAGTTGGATTCGATGATTGAAATTGGAATTGATTATATTTCAGGAATTGATAATATATATCATACTAGCTTCTACCCGCGGCTTCGCTCGCTTGAATCCATTAAATAACTTAATGCGAAATGTTGATACTTTATGTTTTTGTTCTTTATAAAAAAATATTGTTTTTTTTTTTAAATAAAAAGTATCCTATGTTCTTACTAATACCTCTAAGAACATGTGTACAAAATTTTACGATGAGGGGCGGAAAGCTTGGGGTGCCGGCTTTGGGTCATCTGCTGAATTTGTGTCAAATTGCTAATTTGGTTATATCTATAAATTAATGACCTCGATGGTATAGCGGTCTAGCACACCGCTTTACGTTCGATGGTCGCGGGTTCGGTTCCTCGAACGGTACAAACATTTGTATTCATGAGTATTATTGTTTGTATCGGTCTGGGTGTTTTCTATGTATAATATGTATGTATTTACGAAAAAAAATTATCTATGTATTCGTATCACTTATCTAGTACCCGTAACACAAGCTTTAGCTAGCTTAACTTGTGTCTAGATGGCGCTGTGTGAATTGTCCTGAGATTATTATTAATAAAAAGTTAGTCATGGAATCCAACCATAGCGATTGATAGGCATATTATTTAGAAATTTTAACACTGAACATATTATTAGACACTAGCTACTCGCCCCGGCTTCGCACGGGTGTACATATATTATACATATAAACCTTTTTCTTGAATCACTCTATCTATTTAAAAAATCGGGTCAAAATCCGTTGCGTAGTTTTAAAGATTTAAGCATACATAGGGACAGACAGCGACAGCGACTTTGTTTTATACTATATAATGATATGACATTATAATTACACACTTATCCTCCTACAGATAAATGTATAGATAGACTAGCTGTTCCCGCGACTCCGTCCGCGTGGAAATTAATTTAATTTTCTAAAATAAAATTAGTCTAAGTTATTCCTTATTACATCAGCTACCTGTCAAAAAAACGTCCCGTCAAAATCAGTAAAGCCATTTCAGAGATTAGCCGGAACAGACCGACAGACAGACAGACAAAAATTGTAAAAAATGTTATTTTGGTGTATGTATCGTATTTATATTCATAGGCATGTAGTAAAAAACTTTTATTTCAATATTACAAACAGACACTCCAATTTTATTTATATGTATAGTACATATATAATGTGCATATAACTGACAAAAATATTTTATTTATAAGATATAGATGACAATGAAAACACGTATGTTTTTGAATTTGACGTACAATGATCGAGCTGAAATTTGACACAGCGTTGAGGTAAGGTAGATATTATAAATCAAAACTCTGTCTGTCTGTCTCGCTTTCACGTCGAAACCACTGAACCGATTTAAACGAAATTTGGTACACAGATAGTCTAGACCCTGACAAAGGACATAGACATACATTTTAATGCAAAACAGGGGTTGTAGGGGCTTGAAAGGTTATATGGAAATATCGTCATTTTACGCGGACGAAGTCGCGAGCGCAGCTAGTATCGAATAATTAGAGAAGAATATAAAAAATCTAGAATAAAAGTAACAAAAAATACAATTCAATTGGAGTTATAGTAACTCAAAAAGGAGTAGCATCATTTGCATCTAAAATTAAAAAAAAACGTTATAATAGAAATAGAAATGTTCTTTATTGTTTGGGAAACTACTCTGCTACCAAAGTGTTAGGGAATTTACTCTCTCTATATATATAGGGAAAAATAGCGTCAGTCATTTACCTTTATGGTTCTGCGGATATAGCTTTCCAGTTTCACAGTAGGTTTCACAGTTTCACAGTTCTAATTTATTTTAATTCACAACACAATGCGCGCGCGCGTCAAGGCCGCTGTACAGTCGGTTCAGTAATCTAATATAATAATCTGTGCTTACGATGATACAGGGTAGATTTTGAACATTTATTCAAATAAACTTAATATAAGCAGTTTTGAATAGTCACATTTTTTTATTCTACCGCTCATTCGACTCATCACAGGAAGAATGAACAAGAAACTTGTGTGTTGCTCTTTTGAATTAAAGGTTGTTTTATTATCTAAATATATATAACTCAAAGGTGACTGACATAGTGATCTATCAACGCACAGCCCAAACCACTGGACGGATCGAGCTGAAATTTGACATGCAGGTAAGGTAGAATTAATCAAAATCCTTTCTTAGCGGATGCCTACGTCATAACATCTACCATGTACCTGTGATAGATCACTATGTCAGTCATTCACCATTGAGTTATATACTTTATATATTATTCAAGTCAAAGGAAAACTAAATATTTTCCAGAAGTTTCCGAAATAATATATCACATTTCATACCATTTTGTACACGTGATCTTGCAGTTAGTCACGAAAGCTTTATAATTATTTTCAAATACCCACTTTATTTCTATTGTAACGTTCATGAAACTGAACGATTTTATGAATATTATAGTATCGAAATCTAAGTCAAAATCTTTTACTTATAGAACACTTTCTGCCACTCATGCAGATTATTTTTTTTAGTAATATTCTTTTTTTAGTAAGTTTCTTTTCACTATCATAATAAACTTGACAACTGATCCCATGTTCTTACTGTAGTTTTAATGCACTTTTATAAACCTTAGTAAAACCTATATCTTAATTTATTATTATATCGTGTATTCTCAGTTGCTCTTTGTTCTGTTCACATATGTAATTAACAGTAACAACCTGATTAACAGGAACCTGAGTGAGACATCCCACATTTTTCTGTTCAATTCCATAATTTACTATAAAATAATTTCTATTTTAACAACACCAAACCTCGTTACAATACAACCCGTTGGTTACGTTAGTACATCAATGTAAGGTTAGCAAAACAACACACAAACTGTTTCACAAATTGTCACGCGGCAAAACTGTTAGTGAGAAATTGGAGCAATAAAAACAACCAGAGAACACGGCGACGCGACTCCACGGATGTTATAAAGCTGTTAGTTGCATAAACAAATGCTGGCACGCGACAGAACTCACTAATTCTCTGAGAATCGTCGTCGGAGAACATCCGCTGGTAGATCTCGTCGCAATCTGCAGAAATTTTATAATAACTGAGTAACGGTAAACAAGTAACAATATCACTTAGTGGATGCGGAATTAAATTAAACAATATTAATTATTACTTTGTTTAATTCCGCAAGCATGTGAGATATTCAGTGCGGTAACCTGACCATCGCTATTGAAAGCGTTACAATCTTTACTATCTATTCTTATTTGAAAAGAATACGAGCTGAGTTTCTTGTCAGTTCTTCTCATCTCGAACTGACGGTAGATTTGACATATCATAAGAGTCTGTTATAGACCTACATGAATAAAGATATTTTGAATTTTGAATTTGAAACATAACTATTACAAAGTGCTTATATTGAGTTTATTTGAATGATGATTTTCTTATCATGAGTTTTCATTCTGATTGAGTGGTAGACTAAAAAAAACGTGTCCATTCAAATATGCTCATATTAAGTTTATTTGAAATGAAGATTTAATAATAATAATAATAATCTCAGGACAATCCACACAGCGCCATCTAGACCCAAGTTAAGCTAGCTAAAGACCTATTTCATGTAAAGATATTTTGAATTTGAAATGGATGATCAAATTCCGACTGTTACTGACCACCAATAGAGAAGGTCGTAACGCTTCCAGATGTGTTGATCAGGTTTCCGCACTGAATGTTTGTGGAATTACACTTACTAATTGTAGCGGAATTAAACAAAATAATATAAATCAACCAAGTGATTAAATGGAATTCCGCAAAATAAGACCAAATTCGATGAAATATAAAGTAAGAATATATTCAGGAGGTTTATCCTAGATATGATAGTTAGAGGTGTTAATAACTGCTGATATCGTGATGAATTGCCCACATTTAGCTAACCATTAGATATTCGTTGAATTTGGACTCTTGCCACGTAGATTTCGAGACGATATATATTTTAGAATATATATACCTTCTTGAGTGCTATCATTTTCCAATTATCTAAAAGTTTAATTGTCTCGTTTATATTAGAAGCTATATATTACACTCCCATCGTCGATTCATTCAATCATTCATTCATTCATTCATAATTTAACAGCTGTGCTCTTGTCGGTGGAGCTCCCGCCACTTTCCTTGATCTTCTATCTTTCTAGCTGTTGATACGATACGAATCGTCGATTCATCCAGCAAAAATACAGTCGACGCTCTAACAGTCCAATTATAGGAAGTGGCAGATATAAGTACATTGTCAATTGCGTTGACAGTTATAACTCCAACAATATCAGGGCCATTGGGCTCGGAATAGCAGCAGACGCCGCTGCCTTTATGTTATTTGAAATGATAATTTCTAATTTGAATTGTTGAACTATGTAAATAATGGAATCCACTCCTTAGTTGCTTCATTAACATATTCATTGGTTCTTATAGCTTGAGATTTTCTTTGATGACGAAGCGAATTAATTTCGAATAATATGTTGTAGGAAGTTCATAACGTAATGGATCGAATTTTACTATGTAGCAGCGTACTTTCTACACGTGCCACCTTTAGTCCTTGCAATTTCAAACTCTTATCGCACGGCACGTGTAACATTAGCAACGCAGCTGCGTGACCTTGAAGCCGTTGCTACGTGCAGCGGCACGTGTACGCGACACGTGTAATTTTGTATATAAGGTCGAAACATCTCAATAAAAACTCCTCCGATCGATCCCCCGTCCAATTCAAACGGGGACCGATGTTGCGACGGCTTGAGCCGAGGTTCGAACCCCTAGCGGTGCCCTCAGACTAAAATAGTATCCATCAGGCGGGAGTTGGCCTTCAACATTTCAAGCTCCCAGGTTCTCCACAAAAAGAATAGAATAGAATAGAATAGAAAATCATTTATTCAAATAAACTTACATTGAAGCACTTTTGAATAGTCATTACATTTTTTAATCTGCAGCTCGTTCGGAAAGCTGTGTCATCAAAGAAGAACGAGCAAGAAACACTTCTATTCTGTCTTTAAATAATTTTATTATTACTTTACATTTTTAAGTTTAAGTGTGTGAATACAAACCACCAATTAGCACAAATTCTATTAAATAGGCAAATAGAAAAAATATTGAATATATAACCAACTGGTTAAACAAATAAAAGAAAACAAAGTAGGTTAGATAGAGTTGCCAGATTTTTCAGCCTATAAGGGGCAAAAGCTTAAATAGATAAAAAAACAAGGGAATTTAGTTTTTTACCCGGGAGAAATTATCGAATCCCGCCGGTACATTTTAAACTAAGACTACCGGTCGTGGGAAATACGGAACGTCTGGCAACGTTAGTCCTAGACCTAAAACCTAAAGGGGCGTGTACATTAACCCCCTTAAAACTATCTGCTGGAATTACAACCTGAAAACAAGTTCAAGAGTATTTTTAGAGTTGATATTGATAAATTGAAAGGAAATTTTCTATGAATTGTTCGCATCACAAAATATTTTCAAGTTAGTCGTAGCGGTGTTTATTTATATAAAACTTATTGAAGTTACAAAAGGATCAAATTAATATTGACTTTAATTTGTGTACCAATACAAAGTTTTGTATTTCACATTGTATGACTAGCTGTTACTCGGAACTTGGCCCGAGTGGTATTAAACTTCTACTTTTACGAGTAAAATTTCTAAAGTAGCCTGAGTTATTCCTTATAACATTAGCTATGTGCGAGTGAAAGTCCCGCCAAAATTTGTCCATCTATTTCAGCGATTAGCAAGAGCAGACAGACATAAAGACAAACATATTTAACATTATATTTTTATGTAAGTATCGTATATACTTTCGTGTATATTTAGTGAAAAGCTGTTAACTTGAAATTATAAACAGATATTTCAATTTCTTTTGTAGACTAGCTACTCGCCCCGGTTTTGTCCGGTTGTACATGTATTATACATATAAACCTACCTCTTGAATCACTATCTATTAAAAAACCGCTTCAAAATCCGTTGCGTAGTTCTAAAGATTTAAGCATACCTACATAGCGACGGACAGACAGTGACAGCGATTTTATTTTATACTATGTATACAGTTTATATCTTATATCTATTAATTTCTACAAAGTTTATTACTACTAAACTATATATACTAGCTTTTACCCGCGGCTTCGCTCGCGTTAATTTATCCTCTTAGGGGTGGAATTAATCAAAATCCTTTCTTAGCGGATGCCTACGTCATAACATCTACCTGCATGCCAAATTTCAGCCCGATCCGTCCAGTGGTTTGGGCTGTGCGTTGATAGATCACTACGTCAGTCATGTTTGATTTATATATATTTAGATATATATAAGTATGTAAAACACTATCCTTACTGTGTATTAAAGCTACGCTATATGTGATAAAGAGTTGGGACAATTTTTACTATGTTTTCATTGTTATTTTAGCGAGTTACTACTTATGGAACATACTTGGAACAACCAGATAGTGTAACAACTACAAAAATATAGGAAGAGGAACATGATGGAAACAAATTGTCACATTGTTTGTCTATATACGTATTGCATATAAATTAGGTATGTTCGGAAGTTCCGTAACTGTAACCGAAACTATCGGATATCATCATCATTGCCTTGCCTTTATCCCATTATTTGGGGTCGGTGCAGTATGTCATTCTCTTCCACTGCTCTCTATCGGTCGTCATATCTGAGCATACTCTTCTTTTATTCATATCATCTTTCACACAATCCATCCATCTTTTCTTAGGGCGTCCCCTCCCTTTACATCCATCCACATTCATATTATACACTTTCCATAAGACATGGTCCTCATTCCTCCGCATAACATGCCCATACCAGCTCAATGTGTTACCTCGCAACTTTTCTATAACCGGCGCAACTTTCAAACTTCCTCGTATATACTCATTCCTTATTCTGTCATTCCTGGTAACCCCACACATCCATCTTAACATTCGCATTTCTGCCACATGCACACGCCTTTCGTCCATCCCCTTTACGGCCCAACATTCAGATCCATACAAAATATCGGATATCCGATATAAAAAATATCCGTAACCGTAACCGAATCCGAAATAAAAGTTTCGGATAATATCGGATAGGGGCGGAGCCTAATTGAGATATGTTATGTAACTAATTTGTATTTTACTTTTCAGATTCCTTAAAAAGTTAATATCCGGATAACCCGAAATAATTTCATATTCGTATCCGGTATAATAATCATTCCTATATCCGAAACCTATCCGTATCCGAAATTTCATATCCATAACATCCCTGATATAAATACACTGCACTACCTAGTATGGAGAATTTATTAAATCCATTACAATATTTTGTTACTCAGACGATAAATTATAATAGGTTGAATTGATATGAAACGATCTCAATTTGTGAAACGTTGGCGCCGCTCCAACTGACCTCACAACCCTACACCTAGGGTTGCCATTCCCAAAATTTTGAAACCAAAACAAGACGCGAGAAAACCCCGGATTTTAGAGTCCAGATCATGACATGTCAACAGGTTTTTATTTAAATTCAGACCTTAAAACTAAATGTATTAATTTTTTATCATCATTTTAAATGTACCTACTTAACAAAACAGAGTCTTATTGTAGTTTGTTACAAATTGTTTTAATAAACAGTTTGATTTTTTTAATTCCTAAAATAAGTCAAAATTATTAATATACTTTAATATTAAACCTTAGACGAAAATTATATCAAACGTCCATGCCGTACCTGCTCCCGTAAAAATCGGTGATTCTACACTCGAAATTGTCGATCACTACGTATACTTTATTTAGGTCATTTCATCAATCGTCGAATCCAACTCGGATGGGCAGCGTTCGGGAAGCTCCGATATATCTTTTCGTCCAAATTTCCGCAGTGTCTCAAGGCGAAGGTTTACGACCAATGCGTGTTGCCAGTGATGACTTACGGAACAGAGAGTGGGCCCCATTGTCACTCAGAGGGCAATGGAAATTGTTTGATCGAATCAGAAATGAAGGTCCGCAGAAGTTTAGCCCAAAGAATTTTTTTGGGCAGGGCACATAGCTCGTAGGACAAATGGCCGATGGGGCAGTAA